GAAAAACTAATCAAACACTTCTTTTATGAAAGGCTCTTCAGGGCAACAGCCATGTCCACTCTTGTTTTTACAGTGAAAAGTACAATAAGTCCTTGGTTCTGATCATTGATTCTAGGCTTTATTATAATATAAATATTACATAATTGAAAGATTGGAGGCTGTGGATTGACAAAAAAGGGAGTTGAACATAAAGACAGTGCATATTACTATAGCTTTGATTTGGCTAGACAAGAATCGGTCTTCTACCAACTCAGAAAGCCAAAAAGCAGTTCATTCAATTTGTGTTAAAGAATGAAATGATCAAACTCCTAAGTTCAACATTAGACATTAAAGAAAGCCTGGCTTTAAAAAGAGATTTTTTTTTATTGTAGCTATTATAAATGAAATTATAGTTAATTTTTTAAGAGCTCAACACACACAGAATGAACTCAAAGTCTGAGGCCTGAAAAAGACATGCATCTTATCAATATAAAATTTAAAAAAGAAACCTATGGTATCTGTGTTGCATTACATAAACTTTACATTGCTTGATGAGATTATGAATATCATGAGGGGGAACTTGGCTGCATCTCCTTTTTAATTCTGTAGGGCAGCCAAGTAGCTTACTCTCCCATATGTTCCAGCTTCCAAATCAGTTCTAATAATAAAAAACAAATGTACAAAAATTGAGATTCAGTTTTATTAAATAATTATTTGTAGTGTGTACAATTTGGATATAAGTCAACAATACACTGAAGAAAAATTGTTTCTGACTGATTAAATTTAATATTGGTCTTGAAAAATATTTGAAGGACTTAAAGTTTGAAGAGTAATTCCCAAGTTGTTAAGGGCTATGATTCAGTGAATGCTGTTAAAATGACTGCTGATTGGAAGTATATTTCCACTTTTCATCTCGTAGAGAGACAGGAATTCATGTGTTAGCAGCTGTTGATGACATTCTGGTTTGCGTTCTACATATGATCAGCGAACACTGAAGTTCTAGTTGAAATGTTGCGATAAAATTTCTGTTATAAATGAACATTGTACATATATATTTTCAGAGAGATCCTTTCATTAGTGCCTTTAATAACAGGAGAAATTCTCTTTCTTTCTTCTGGCTAAATAATGGTAAACTGCTATCTGTTTCTGCTGCAGTACATACAGTAATCTAATTATATTTCATTGTTCTTACACTAATTTGTTGGAAGTTAATTTTAATGATATTAGAGCTGGAAGCTGAATCAGTGTTTGCAGGAGAGATTCTGGCAAAATGGACTTCTACATATAATAAATCCGCAAGCTTCTTTTTCATTATATTGCTAAGAAGGTCTAATTTTTAAAGAATGAGTTGGTATTTAAGACATAAACATTACATCTAATAAATGAACTATAACTTTTCTGAGAGGGCTTTCATTTTTCTGCATGTCAGATAGAGACAGGTTCAAACTCTGCGTTTCACAGAGCTGCTTTTAAGATGGAGCGAATTGTTAGCAAATGTCTGTCTGACACATTCTGAAGGATACAGAACAGCCTTAGCTGTCCCAACATGATGGAAGAAGTTGAAAGATTTTCTGTGCATCTATTCCAATAGATGGTCTATTTCAAAAGGAGAGGACCTGTTGGTCCTTGGCAATAAAACTAGTAGCTACTAGCTAACTCTGCTTATCCATGTTAATCCGTATCCATCTCTTGAGCTTATCCTGCTATCTGTAAAATAGTTAGCTAATAGTTCTGTGTCCTATATAGGTGAGCAACTCAGCCTGGGCAAGGTTGAAGTGAGACTAGGATTGTGTCCGAGACATGCTCTATAGCCAACCTCCAAACTTTGTAAAATAGCTTCAAGAATGCAGCCCTCCCTTAAGTTCTGCGAAGAGACAGGCTGTCAGCTGGTGCTGACAAATGGGATTTCACTTTTAAATCAGATGTCTGGGGAATAGGGGTTTCGCATCTGAAATGGAAGGGGTGACACATTCAAATCAGTCGATGAAAGATGGGCAAGGAGTACCTATCCCCTAGTTTGTAGGGGCACGTGCTCCCAATAGAAAATACCATTTATTATTCCAATTTTTTGATTGGCTCGAGTTAAAATGATGTGGTAAACAGTTTCATTAATCCAGTGTTCATAAGACAAAGGCATCTACAATTTCTGTCATTGGTAGGACACAGGATTTGTGTTAAAGAAGGTCTTCCTTTTCAAATTTAGCATTTATAAAAGTCACAGTCTCCTAGTCATGTACAGAAAGACAAAAAGCAAGAAAGCCTACCTGATCATTGCTGTGGTGTAACCACCTGGAGCTCTCCACTTTGGTCCCAACGCTATAGACTTCAAGGCTAGAAAGGAGAGAAGCATGATTTCTGCACCTAACCAAACAACTCGTGTTGAAGTACAGGAATATTTTTAAAAATAGACGTTCAGTTCTGATTAGAAGTAATTGAAAAATTCTCACCTTTTTGAGTAATCTCTTTCAGTGATTAACCTTATTGTTAAAGTGTGAGAGTTAGCAACGATTTGAATTTTACGTAATTCTACTGTCGGTATGGCTAATAAAAGTCACAGATGGCAGGCAAACCCTCTTATCAAAAGCGGAAGGGTTGTATCCCCAACGTGTGAGGGTTAGATGGTGGCAGCTTGGCTTGCTCTGGATAGAGCTTCAAGAGCTGGTTGCCATACCACAGCCCCAGTTTCTCCCACATGTTGGTTGGCTCAGATAGAGAGAGGGATGTCATAAATGTAGTAAAAATCTTAAAGACACTCTCTCCATTCTTTAAATCATTTTTACATACTGACTGGTTTAGAGAGGGGACAATAAGCAAGGTCATGCAGCATCACTTTCAGAAGCTAGATGAAATATCCCATGCCACTATTAATAAATGACACACATTAAAAAGCAGAATCTCTTTTCCCACAGGAAATAGAGCTGTTGAATCTAAAAGACAAACCAATATGTCCATACTAGTGTTACTCAGGCCCTCTAAACAGCAGAATCTACTAATAGTGCAACAACATTGCTTTTATTCCTGCTAGTCTTCCCTTGTACCTCTAGTGTGATAAATCTGAACTTAAGTAACTTGCCTGCTAACATGTTATGCTGCTCTTGAGGAGATGGAAAAAAAGGAAACAAAAGAAGTTAGGGTCTTGCAAAGATGGAATAAGGCAGGAAAATGTTGTAAATGGCATGAAGATATGTTGGAGGAATATTCTTTTGTAAATGGAATCTCTAACATTAAATTGTTGCATCTTGAACATTCCCTGTTTTCACGGTCCAGGCATATTTTTGGCAGAAGGATTCATAGAGTAGATGAGCTCATCTTTGAGCTGAGATCAAGAGGGTGATCGACCTTAATTTCTCTGTCAGTCCTTCTGTTGGAAAAATGTTAGAGGAATTAAAAATCCAAATGTTGTTATGTAGCCCCAGAAACTGGAAGGTTCATATGTATTGACATGCCTGTTATCTTAAAATACTAAATTCCCATTCTGTTTCAACATTGTCCCGAAGATGACAGTGGGAATCTGATTTTTTAAAAAAATTACTTGAGTAGTAAAGGGGTCTAAATTAATTGTTATAAACCTAAGGATGTGATTCCCTCTCCCCAGCCCACTTTCTGAATATGCATGTATGCTTGTCTTGTTTTGAAACCTTCCTACATTGTTGAAGAATGTGTTATGTTTAAGGGGTTCATATACCCTTTCTAATGGGGAACAGTCTCATTTCAGTTGAAAGTATCAACTTCCATTAGTGGAATTCCCAGTCCTTTGTATTCCTTGCTACAACTAATCCTTTCCGATTTGCTTTAGAGCTATAAAATTCTGTAGGACTGAATATACATGCAGCAATTCTGCTGCAATTTCTTGTTGCTCTGAGTGTATAGGGCTTATTGGGGAGGGAATATGACCATATGAAAATGGCTTTCTTATCCAAGTGGAAACAGTTTTAGTCAGCTGTCAGGCAGGTTCAATAAGCATAATACAGTAGAGGAACTCACAGAGCCATACTTTAACTGCCATTAAAATTGCCTCCTCAGTGCATTGTGAGCCAGGATATAGTGAATGCTGATGTTTGTATTATGAACGGAAGGTGAATGTCTTCTGAGTAAAAGCAAATCTAATGTTAATTAAACTTTTTTCAGGGGTTGGGCGGATAATTCTGCTTTTGTGGTGTTAAATCTCCTTTGATTTTAATTGCATACAAAAAATTGACTGTAAGTGTAATGCTAGCAAGTGTTCATATTGATTACAAGCTTCTGTGTATGCTAAGTCAAAGAATTAAATGCTTTTAATTGGGGCGCTTTTTTTCCAGGACAGCCACGTTGATAACAAAGCTTGTACTGTCAGTATGTTGAAGGTCATTCTTATAATCTGTGCAATGAAAAGTGTTCCCCTTTAGGTGAAAAGAAAAATCAACTGAGCATACCTAAAATTGCCTAGAAAATCCTATTACACTTACTGAGTTTCAGTTATATATTTCAGATTCGCATGGAACTCAATGAACTCTCAGATCAAATATGAAAAATGGTAGTAAGTTTTCAGTGATACGCAGTTTCCCTCCCCCCTCTTTGTGTCCGACTGAGAGAAACAAGGCACATTCTTCTCAGTGATGGCACAGGACAAACTGAAATGATTAACATTAAAACTTACCTAATACCGTGACATGTTTTAGAGGTGGAAACAAAGGTAGGATATGTCTTATCCATCTGTCTTGCCTCCCTGTGCATCTGTCTGTCTCTCTAGAGCCAGTCAATAAAAATGATTAGAGTTGGCATCTCACAAATGTACACCCTTAAACCATGGAGCAATAGTACTGTGAAGGAAATTTTTTTCTGACCTTTTCAAATTACATCCGACTGTCTAGGGAATTTCTCAGTGACTAGAGGTAATAAGGTTCAATCCGTTTTGCTGGTTGGCTTCAAATTTAGCTCCTCAGAAGCCCTAACTTATCTATTCTTTTTATCTTGGCCTTGGCATCTATTCAGTACAGTAATCCATGCATCTAATCTTTTTTTTTTTCCTCCTCCCCTCTCAGGTTTAGCTGGTGGATCACATTGTGAAATCTGCAGCTGTGAAAGGCCTTCCATTTATTGCACCCTTCAAAACGAAATATTAGCATGGGAGGCTAAGCTGGTATGTTGCCTTTGAGAGGCTCTTGTTGAATTTAATTAGCTTTTAGATTTCATCTCCATCTCACATCTCAGCTTTCACTATTGTATGTGATTTAGGCTTCAGTGACTTTCATTATTTAAAACTTTTCCAACTTAGCTGTGCCACTTCTGCTCCATGGAATACTGAAGGGGAAAGTAAAGTTTAAAGTTCATTGTCTTAAATTGATTTCTGTCATTATGATGCAAGCTCAGAAACAATAGAGACATCCTCCCAGTAAGTTAGTGAATCATTCAAGTGAGAAAGACAAACAGGCTTTTGTGCATGGCTTGTTTTTCATTGTGCTCCGTGGAGTAGAACGGGAAACAGGTAAAGAACATTTAAAAAAAATTACAAGGATATTTTGATGTCAAATACTTTTAATCTTGGGGAAAAAATGGTCTCATTTTTAACTCATATGAGTCGTATGGTATCAAGGGCCATAAACAGTAACTTACTGCTTCGAATACCTGAAGTTTCATTTTTGTAACTTATACAGGGAATTACGGTGTAGTGTCTTCAAGTTCTGGTTCACAAGTACCTCCGTGACAGTACAAGGAGAGCTGTCAATAAGGAATGGTAAGCTCATGGCTGTTAACTGTCTTACTCCTCATATGGTTAGGACTTAGTTTCCTTTCATTTCAGGCAGGGAAGGGTAGGAAAAATTGGTCCTTTCCCCTGTAGCTTCTCCAGGGCACTAGATCTGTGTTTAGTTATATCAGATGTACTATTGAATGATACACCAGAGTATTGAAAATGTATGCATATCAAAAAGCACCTGTAAAACACTTGCTTTTAATCATGTGATAAGTATTTTGGGAGAGATGCAGCTAACTTGCATATAGATTTAAGGCAAAGCAGTGGCTACATTAAAATTTTGTAAAGTTATGCAGCGAATTAAAAAAAAAAAAAATTTTTTTCCTGACGTCATCTTCATCATACTTCGATTTGCCTTTCTGAAGTGAAGGGAAACTTGGTTGCCTACATAATGTACAGAATTGGGAGTCTGTGGGTCTTATTCCTGTACGAAGACATGCCTCTTATAGTGCTGTAATGTTTGTGCAGTTAGTATTTTGCACCACAACCTTTGTTTCCGTGAAAAGCTCTCAGCCAGTACTGGGCATAAAGTGTGGAGTATAACCTCACTATTTCAGTGTCTTTGATTGGTTCAGCTGAAATAAAATAGTATAATTTTTAATCAGAAGTATTGTATACTGTTGATATATGGAAAATTAAAATTGGGGTACGCATTATTCTAAAGGGCAGTCATATTCCTAGTTACTGAGGAAGTCGACCACAAAATTGTTGAGAATGAGATCTTAAAAGTCTGAAATTAATTTTAGGGAAAACACATCCCACATTGGTGAACCTGCTCATGTCCACGGTAATTTCTTTATGGTCCTTACTGTCACATCAAGAAAAGAAATGTTGCTAAATGGACAGAGCCAGTTGCAAATTTAAGGAAACAGGAATATACTGTTCTAATTCCTGTATTTTCTCAGTAAAAAGGATAACTTGCCTAAATTGGCACTATGATAGATAGTGCCCTTGTTTCAGAGAAAATACGAAAGGACCTAATTTGGATGGACACACACAATTCTGTACTAAAATACAGCTGCTTTTTAAACAGCGTAGTAACTGGTAAGGTGTTTCCTTTAAAATTATGTCTATAGCGTGCAGTCAGTTTGTGTTGATGTGTTTGTTTACTCTCACATCTTGGAAGCTCCACTGATAAATTTAGAGTTGTTTTCTTCATAGAGCAGTTTTTGCTGTTCTTTATTCTACACAAATTAGGCTTCTCCTGGCACTCGAGTATCTAGGTTGGCCTCCAGATACTGAAACCAGCAACCTAAAAGGATCCATTGTTTGCCAAGGGTATCAGAGGACTGAAAAACGCTTCCTGGCCATAGCAAGCTGTAGAGTCTCAAAGCAGCGTCACTGTTGTTGGCTGCATGCATGTATCTTCTTACAGAAGGTGCTTTGAAAAAAGTGTAATGAGTAACCCCTCTCATCGTATTTCTGACAGAAATACATAGGAATGGGATTATTTTGAGTGCAAGGAGGATATTAAGATGGTGGCAGTGTGAGTTTTCTTATACAGAACAGGTTCTTGTTTCCAGGATTGTCTTTTTTATAATTCTGAATGTACTAATGTGCTGTACGGAAGCAGTTCTGTCAGTGGTCTTTCTACCATTCCGATAGTTTTCAGTCATAAGTATTGAAAGTGAATTTCAACTAATAAGTAGAAAAGATTTCTTTTTTTTTCATGAAGTTCATGAGGGGAAAGGAGATTTCTTTTTTTTTCATGAAGTTCATCACAGTGTATGTCACATAAAGGAAAACACATGGTGATATTTAAATGTTTAAATTTCATTTGTTGGAGTGTTTCTGAACCAGTAGCTATGAGTTGTTGACAGCAGTTGAGAAAAATGTATTTTTGTGCATGCACTTGGAATGATACTTGGAATGAATATCTTTTTTTTTTTTTTCTTTTTTTGGTCAAAAACAAGCGTTCTCGATCGCTCAGGGTCCAGAAACCTCGAGGTTATTTTCTGTTTTGTTTTATTTCTGGCCAATACCAAACTTTTCTTTGCAAACTTAGCAGACCTTGAAATGAGCTGATTTAGGAAAAAGTGTATACTGGTTTTAAAATCCAGCATGCTCGATTATATGTCTTGGAGAGGAAAAAGTAATGTGAGAACCTTTGATTGTGGTCTGTTTCAATATCTGTGTCGCTTTGCCTTTTATTTTACTATTTTTGATTTTTATAAATTGAAAGTGCAACAATAACAAAGCAAAATGAGGGTCGAGCGTAGGTATATGAAAAATATGGTCTTTCAGCTTTGCCATTTATCCTCGCTTGCTAGAAAATATCCAATGTGACAAATCTTTATAAGAAAATTCTGCAGATCACGTCAAAGTGACTTGCATCCATACATCAGTGGTGTGAAAATGGGAGGTTGCATTGCGCACATCAAAGGGATTGTGTGAATGTTATTGATACGGCATTCTTCATTGTTCTGTGTTATTTATATTTTCATCATTCGCCTATAAAGTCTTAATAATTAGCTCTCTAATTTCCCAGAGAAAAAACATATTAATTTATTGAACTGGCTGAAGCAAAAAGTAGCTGATCAATCTGGCGTTGTAGGTTAATGGTAGAGAACAAAGCGTAGTCATAATTAGTTGAGAAAAGGGCTTTCCTTGTTCATTCCAGTTTATAATAAAAAGTCCCTCGCCAAAGTGACTTAGAAAATAATGCATTCAGACTGAGCAGAATTACCGCCTAGCAGATTCTATTTATCTGTAGCTTAAAAAGCAGCTGCGTTTTTGTAAAAAGCAATGAATGTGGCAGTCCTACTTAAAGGTAGAAGAAAAAGAACACCCCTTGTTTTGTAATAAGGGGATTTTCAATTTAAAAGAGAGAGCGAGCCTGTTGTGTGAAGTATGGTTATTACATTCACTGTATTCTATCTCACCCACCAGGAGGCTAATAACGAAGGAGTCAGTGAAGGAGACCAATGCCATGAGGGTTATCTTGCAGCCCCAGATGCTGGATAAGTTGAAGGAGGCAGACTCGCTTTTGGATGACATTCAGGAAGGCCTTGAATGATTATTTGGCGAAGAAAAGGCTATTCTTTCCAAGGTAAACAGTCCATTTCATCTGTCTGTTGTAGGTGTTGGTTTAAAATATGTTTATATAAATACCTATAAATTTCTTTTTTTCTTTTTTCTTCTTTTATTTTTTTGATCATTGTTTAGGTTTTTGTCTTGATGCAACAAAGATCGCTCAGGAATCCTTTTTGACACAAAGGATCCACTCCACGTCCAACCACACCTAAAGAAATGCTTTGAAGGAGTTGCCAAGCTCACTTTTAATCATGAGAAAGAAATTACCCACATGGAGTCAGCAGAAAATGAAAAAGTAGAGCTCGTGCTGCGAATAATTCCAGCAAGTGCCAAGGGGCTAGTTGAGAAATGGCTTCATGAGGTGAATATCTTTAGCTCTTACTTAGGGTTTAGTTACTGTATAATCATTTTCTCTTTTAGGAGCAATGAATATCATAAGCGTATTTCCTAAGTAAATGGCTCTCTGAATATTTGTCAAGATGCTGACAGATCTCAGCCTTATTGTTGTTATTTATTGCAACTAATTTAGCATCTGCAAGCATGCAAAAATTAATTTTAATAAAAAGCTCTGAGTCAGACCGTTAGCAGAAGTGGGTCTGTGTCTGAAAGCCTATATGTGAATATATGTTTACGTCTATATGTATGTGTTTCTGTGCTTCCATGGTGTAATGTCTGTAGTTTGGAAGGTAACATTGAAAATATAATCAGAGAACCACAAGATTATGAGTGCTACCCACCCTGCAGCAAGTGCGTTCCATTGTGTTGAAGGGGTTTAGTTTCCAATACATTTGAACAAAAGGAAAGAGAAATTATTTCATTGATAACATCCTAACCTTTCCCCTTTTGGCCTCTCATTCAAATTCATTGGCTTCAGTACGAAATTAGTTTGGCGACCTTTTTTGTTTGCTTTGTTTAACCTTCGTCTGCCAGCGGATGAGAGTGGGTCCTTCCCTTGGCTTTTGTTTCTAGGCCAAAAATCCGTTTTCCTTTCTCTGTGCCTCCCTTTCTTTTCAGACAGGATCAGCCCCAGGTACACAGCTTCCCTTTCACCCGCTCTCGCGGGCACTGATTTCTCTCCAGTTATTCTGTCCCTCAGTCCCTCTTGTGTCTCTCATCAGGCTGTCAGCCAGCAAGGGCGTACAGCTGGGACCAGCAATACGCGCCGGCGTGAAGCAAAGGGAAAATTGGGGGGGGGGAGCATTATTTTTATCCCAGGCTAATTCTGTGGAGAGTCGGGGGGAGTTCCCTGGGCGCGGAGGGGAGAGAACAGGCAGAGAAACCCGGAGCAGCCCTGGGTTTAGAGGTTTTCTTCTGTTACGTGTCGAGCTTCTGCTGGCTGCGCGAGCGCAGCAAAACAGCTCGAGTCCTCGCAGGGGTCTGCGTTTCCCACAGAACTGAACCGCGCAGCATCAACGCACCAACTTTGGACGAATCTCTCTCTTTTTTTTTTTTTTTTTTTTGGTAAAAAGACTGTCCACTGTTTAAAACAGTCTATCATCAGAATTGTTTGAGGGTAGGGGAGGAATGAAAATAGGGCAGAATTTAGGTAAGCATAAATACTCCCCTCCCTCTAATCCACATTAAATGACTGACTTGATTTTGGGACTAGTTTGCAAATCACAGTTACCTTTCTAGAAAAAAGGAGCGGCAGTGGGTAAGTCCTGCAGCACTCGGGAGCCCAGGAAAACCCTAAATTCTTAGCGTATCAAGCCTGCAATATACTTTTTAGTTTTCACTTTCTCTCACAAATGAAAGGGTTGGGGAGGTGAGCAGCTGTGTTTATTTTAATACATCTCATTTAACCCTCACCTAAAAACAAATTGGAAGGTTTGGGAGTGCATTAATCTGGACCCAATTAGTGTCTCTTTCTCCATCAAAAGTGCAACCTGAGATTAATGAATATAAACTAGAGTTTCATATGCAGTCTTTAAATCATTTGCATGTTTTATGCATGATAATTGAATTTATTTATGCACTTCCTTTCATTTAATGATTTCTTGCTCTTTTCTGTGCTATCAACATTATATTATGCAAGAAATAGGATTTGGTAGGCAAGAAAGGATAGCAGTATATAAATCAAACTTGAGTTAATTTTTAGTTCTAATATCAACAGTGCATCAGAATTAACATTGGTATCATGCCAGTGGGGTAGATTGCTGGGAAAAAGTAAAATATTTATGGTAAAGCAGAGGCTTTTAGCTCAACAAGACATTTCTGATGCAGCTTAGTTTGTGTGCAAGTGTGCAAGCAAAATTATTTTCAAATGGCAGTTAAATTATTGTATTGACTTTTCAAAGACCCTAGAGACTTGTGTTTCAACTTGGCCAATTAGTAGTAATAAGAAGATGAATAGTAATTACATTAATAAATAACTGTATTCAGACCAGCACCTCAGAGTCATAGTCTGGCTTGGAAAATAAGGGTACTTTATAATTTGTCTCATTTTGCTCTTTGATCAGGAGAAATATGGACTTTGGAACTACAGTAAATTTATCATAGCCAAGAATATATAAGTCCTGGAGAACAGTGAGCCATGTTAGCTAGCAGCTCTGTGGTAGTAGCTGTTTCAGTGCTAGAAGTAGGGAACTTTGCTTTGTTTCTCCAGTTAAGCTGAGGTGTCTTACAGATTCCATAGCGATGGTGTCTGAATTTTTTATAATGCGTGCCAGGAAGCTGCTGTGGAAAAGAGTTTTAATAAGATGCTGGTAGTGGTTCTTTCATAGCTTTAATCAATGCCAGTTTCTTTTTTGTCTCTTGTCTTTCCTTATGTGTTGAAAGATGTATGTGGAAGTGATATTTTTCTGTGGTGTCCTGTCTTTTATCAGTGAATTCAATGGTTGTGTGTCGTGATTGTTTCCTGATTCTCGTAGGTAGGAATGTGTTTAAAGGCTAAAGCTCTGTTAATTTGTGATGTAACCGTTTCAGTGTGTTTCTTGTCATTGAAATGTAGTTCAAAATGTTCAGTAATGTAGCATGAAATTATTGGTTAGTTTTGGAATGGTGGTGAAATCATGTGAAGAAAATAAGTATTGCATCTGATCAAGATAAATTCACTCTAGTGTTTTATGGCTTTTTATTCCTATGTGATAGTAATAAAGTCTCATGTAGGGATGGAAGCCATGAAATACATTGTGAAAAATCATCAACTCAGATGGGGCCATCAGGATAGCATGCTCTAGTTGTAGAGTTACTGAGAATGATTGGAAGATGATTTAGTACGTCACCATGTTGACTACCATGTTTTTGCATTTTGGTTCTTCATTGCTCACCCTCATAGCTTGATGAGAGGAGTTCAGTTTGTAATAAGCTGATCCATCTTTACATCAGTGTTCAGTGTTTAAATTGTTCATACATCTTTCATTTTCTGCTAAAGATAACACTGTATATGAAACGCTAAGCTAAGAATTTAACGTAGCTGACAAACTCATACTGAAATGAATGCCAAGAAAAGCCAATGAATTTCTAAAAGCATGAAAATTTAAGACTGAAACAAAGCAAGGTCTACCCTGGTAGGAAGTAGTCCAGCTTCTTTATTTCCACGTTCAAGAGCATATCTCTTTTAGGAGATTAAGGAAAGAGTTCTTTTTCCCTGCTTATTTGTCTTTCTCCAAGTGCATGATCTTTTCTTTTTCTGGAACCAAGATATAGGCTGATAGGGCTGGGGACAGAAAACAATTTCTGACAATATTCCCTACAGTGCTACCATCCCACATATTGTTTTACTGCTCCAACTGCTTCACTCTTGGGTATCAGTTTCCTTTGGGAATATTTTTGGGAATGTTATTTATTCTGATACAACTATTTACCATTTTCTTTCTGTATTCTTTCTTTGAAGCACGCATTAATAAAAAAAAAACTATTGATTTTTGTGTACTTTGACTCCTTTATTGTTTCTCTCAAGTGTGAATTTTTTGTCTGTTAAAAATATTTTTTCATTATTGTAAATAAGAACATCTTCTGCTGAAAAGCCCCAGCAATAATTAGGTAGGAGATATATATCCCACTTTATTTCAGTATCTTTATCACCTATATTATAAATTTAAATTGCCTGTTTAAATAAAACAGCACACAGAAGGATTTAACCTTGATTAAATTCAGAAGTGTAGTGTGGGAATTATTTCAATGTTAACTGTGCTATACAAAGATGGTAGATTCCTGCTTGCACCAGTATTGCACCAGCATTGCTGTGTGGAGCAAAATTTATAAAACCCTGCAAAACAAGTTACCTTCAGCCTTCTATTAAAACACGAAGTATCTGCTTCCTTATGTTTTAACAAAGTTGCTTCCAAGAGTACCCAGGATGTACTGCCAAGAGAATAAACTGGGCTTGTTTTTTGACTTTCTGTTTGGTTAAGATAAAAATTGTCCTCATCATTTGCCCCCAAATGTTTTCAATATTTACTTTGGATGTGGTCATTACTTTCAGAAACCTGGGACAGTTATTTAAATAGCTTCAAATGGGCCCCTGTACTTTTTTTCCTCCATTTTCCCAGCTTAAGATAAATTGCAGTTAAACTTACTGTTGTCATTCCTAAATAATATGCAATTCATCTTTACTGCAGACTGTACTTTGAAAAGTACTCTACAGGTGAAGCTAAGGGAGCCTGTATTTTGTCTCCAAATTACTTCCGGAGTCACATGTTCTCCGTGTTGCAGTACTGCTTTTAAATGCCAGTCTAAATGGTTGAGCCTTGGATCTTGAAGGAAAGCTGAGCCCTTTTCCTGTAAGTCAGTGCCAGTTTGCAGGGGCTCTACTGACCAACAATTAAGTCTTCAATTTCAACACTACCAATCTACCGTTCTTTTCAGATTGCAGTGACATTGCTTTCAATGAATTTACACAGCTGTGACTGGAACTTGGTAAATAATTTATTAATCGTTAACAGTTGAGTAGAATCCAGCTCATTCTCCCTGGGTAGTTTTGATCCTGCAGCGTCCAGAGGAAGCAAACAAGTATTGTTCATTTAAGCAGAAATTACTCTGAAAATACAATGTACATATTTTTTTGAATACGTTAATACTGTTTTTAAAGCTTGGTGTACTGCAGAATAAAGCTGAGGCAGTTTGCTTTATTAGCACAGCATAAACGCCACTGTGCAAACAATTGTGTGCATCTTGGCTAACAGTAAGGATTAAAGGAGGGAACCCCCAGAACTGGGCTTGAAGAGGCAAATGGTATCACTGGGGCCACTGTCAGACTTGCATTTTTGTGTGGGAAATTTAATACTACAAACCAGTGTGATACCTTCTCTCAGGGAATAATATATGTACTTTCCATGATGTGAAGGAGGTTGGCTAGTAAGGAAAAATTGATTTTTCTTTTCCTGGCAAGTCATCTAGGCTACCCGCCTGACCTTTCGA